TCGGCTGAGGGAGCCGGCGTACAGCTTCCGGGTCATGTGGCCAGCATGACTAAGCTGCTTCTGGCGAACCAGAGCAGCGCACGGAAACGCCGTTTCCCTTCCCGCTGGAGCGGTACCTATTTATCTACTTGCACTGGTGTACTTTTGAACTGCTAGGTTGGCAGGAGCAGGGACCGAGCAATGGGAGCTCACCCCATCGCGGGGATTCGAACCGCCGACCTTCTGATCGGCAAGTCCTAGGCTCTGTGTTTTAACCCACAGTGCCACCCGTGCCTCTTAAAATAATTGTAGTAACATCTTATAAAATTATATCAAAAACAAGCAGCTGCTATTAAAAGAAAAGGCATATCTGAATGGAGGTTCCAAAGGCCTATTATTAAAACCTAAATAATACAAATACTGCCTACTAACGGTATCAATTCTAATAATTGCTGTCGCATTCTGAAATGTCAAAAAGATGTGCTTGGGCTCTGTGACTTCAAATCATGTTGCCTGGCTGTACCACAGCATCATGGAGATGTTCTCTCTGCAGTTCACTGACTACCAAATGCCCCAAAACGTAAAGAATTATTGACCCAAGTTATGCTCATATCTCAGAAATGTTAATTTGAAAGGAAATTTCTTCATGATCCAAGGGGCATAAGCAAGATTTAGATTGTTTTGATTAGCATTAAGCTTCCTGAAGAAACTCACCAGGCATACATCAACTTTGGTTGCAAAAACTTGTGTGGTGCTGATAATGCGATGGTTGCAAGTTCAGTCCTTGCATGGGACAACGCCATATCCCTGCACTGCAGGGGGTTGGACGAGAATCAGCCTTTCTCAACCTGTGGGTCCCCAGATGTGGTTGAACTACAGCTCCCATCACCCCTAGCTAGCAAGGCCACAGCTCAGGGATGATGGGAGTTGTAGTCCAACAACATCTGGGGACCCACAGGTTGAGAACCACTGGACTAGATGATTCTATGACTTCAGCATTAAGAAGTTGATGAGATTAGAAAAAGCTTTGTAACCTGGAGTAAATTAAAATTAACATTTCTGGGTAGGATTTCCATTATAAAGATGAATGTGCTTCCAAAATTAATCTTTTTATTTCAAATGATTCCAATACTGGGCAAAGCAGGTTGTCTCAAGATATGGCAAAGAGAAATTTCCAAATTCCTGTGGGAAGGGAAGAAACCTAGGATTAAACAGCTGGTCTTAATAGACATAAAAGAGAGAGGAGGCTTTTCTCTACCCGACCTAAAACTTTATTATGAGGCAGCCTGTTTCACCTGGCTAAAAGATTGGTGCACGTTGCAGGATCCGGATCTCCTGGACTTGGAAGGTTTTGACAACCGTTGGGGATGGCACGCCTACCTGATATATGGAAAAGCGAAAATTCATAAAAATTTTACTAACCATATAATAAGAAAGTCACTTTTTGCTGTATGGGAAAAATATAAAGACCTGATGGCGTCTAAAGTCCCGTGGTGGACTTCTCCAATAGAAGCCATAGCAGTAAAACGGAAAAATACTCAGGAAAGCTGGCCAACATATAAAACACTTCTAAAAAATGAAGATAACCAAATAAAATTAAAAACCTTTGTGGAAATAAGAGAACACATCTCAGACTGGTTCCAATACCATCAGCTATTTGAAAAATTTAAATCTGAAAAACAAAAGGGGTTCTCAACAGAAATTTCCTGATTCGAATCTGATCTTGTAAATTCTAAAAGAAAAACTCTTTCCAAAACTTATCGACTCCTCCTTGACTGGACAGTCAAGGAGGAGGAGGTAACAGTGGCAATGGTGAGGTGGTCCCAGGATTTTGGCCATTCAATAACCATGGCCCAATGGGAAAATTTATGGAAGATCAATTGGAAATTTACAAATTGTTACACTATTAGAGAGAACTTTCAAAAAATTCAACATTGATGGTATCTAACACCATGGAAACTTTCAAAAATGTATAAAAATGTGTCAAGTAATTGTTGGAGATGCAGATACTCAGGAACATTCTACCATATGTGGTGGACATGTAGGAAAATGCAGGTATTCTGGGAGAGTATCCATGCAGAACTGCAAAAAATGCTAAAGATCTCTTTCAATAAAAAACCAGAGGCCTACCTCCTGAGAATAACAGATTCAGATATTCCACAAAAGAGGAAGGCTATCGTTTTATATGCGACTGCGGCAGCAAGAGTTTTGATCACAGCAAAATGGAAGAGTAATGAAATCCCCTCGATACAAGATTGGATCAAAAGCTGACAGAATATGCCGAATTAGATGGTTTATCAGAAAAAATAAAGAATAAATCAAAACAGGAATTTGTTTCAAAATGGGAGGTTTTCAAAGAATATCTGAAAAATAAATATAGTAGTTTAAATTCTGTTGCAGCATTCGAGGAACTTCAGAAATAGTTGTAAGGTAGATATAAGAAATTAGATTTATTAAGAATAAGTTTAAGTATGATAAAAGTGTATATTGGCAATAAGTAAAATGAATTTGAAATATGGAATCGATGGGAGGTTGGGTCTTTAGTGTTAAAGTGTTAAGACCAATAGATGTTTTATTGTTTGCTAAGAAAATTATGTGTCTATGCTTATTCTTGTGTGTAATTTGGTATTTGTGTTTTTTCTTTTTTCTTGTATCAATAAAAAACTTTATTAAAAAAAGAAGAAGTTGATGAGCCTTCCTATTCTGCCACTCAAAGGACCATTATTTTGGGGGAAGGTGCCCCGAATTAGGCCCACTCTGTTTTCACACCATGAAAAAAGAAGGGTAACATGCCCATACCTTGTGGAGCAATTTCACAAGATCAGTTAACAATGGGGGGGGGGGGAGGAAAGAGTGGATCTAACTGAGGACATCCCCCACAAATGATCCTTTGAGAAATGAAATGGAAAGGTATGTCATGTCCTTAGCCCTGAAGTAATTGAAACCAAATGCCTGGTGAATTTGTCCAGGAAGATAACGCCTAATCAAAACAATCTAAATATTGTTCATGCTCTTTGGGTCATGAAGAAATTTCCTTTCGTATTAACATTTCTGAACAATAAGCATAAGTTGGGTCAGTGGTTGTTGACATTTTAGGGCATTTGGTAGTCAATGACGTTGGAGGCATCAGAACGATGCTGTGGTACAACCAGGCAACATTATTTTAAGGTACATAGCCCCAGCACATCATCTCCAATGTTCAGAATGTGATGGTATCATCCACAATAGTCCTTTTGAAGGAAGGTCAGAGTGGTAACTTACAGATCACCCTAAAAGAGGAAATGTTGTTTAGTCATTTAGTCGTGTCCGACGCTTTGTGACCCCATGGACCAGAGCACGTCAGGCACTCCTGCCTTCCACTGCCTCCCGCAGTTTGGTCAAACTCATGCTGGTCTCTTCGAGAACACTGTCCAACCATCTCGTCCTCTGTCGTCCCCTTCTCCTTGTGCCCTCCATCTTTCCCAACATCAGGGTCTTTTCCAGGGAGTCCTCTCTTCTCATGAGGTGGCCAAAGTCTTGGAGCCTCAGCTTCAGGATCTGTCCTTCCAGTGAGCCCTCTGGAAAGAGGAAATACACCACCCCAAAAAATGAAAATGAAGACACTTGTATATGTAAGATTTGTGTTTGCTAATTTAAATGCAAATCTAGAAATGGTTACTATAATCTAACTAGAAATTAGGGATGCTGTAGAAGAAAAAGAAGAGTTTGGATTTGATATCCTGCTTTATCACTACCCAAATGAGTCTCAAAGCGGCTAACATTCTCCTTTCCCTTCCTCCCCCACAACAAACACTCTGTGAGGTGAGTGGGGCTGAGAGACTTCAAAGAAGTGTGACTGGCCCAAGGTCACCCATCAGCTGCATGTGGAGGAGCGGAGACATGAACCCAGATTACGAGTCTGCCGCTCTTAACCAGTACAGCACACTGGAGAATTCCACAGGAAATGGAAATGCTCCCCATAGGAGCAAGCCACTGCCAAATGTTAAACAATGTGAACAGCTTTCCCAGAAGAATGAGAGCACAGGAAGGTCAAGGCTTGCCAGCCTGTTTTTAAGGCTTCAGGTGACTGTTAGCGTTTTGCTGCAACATCATCTCCCCAAGCCCAGCTATGCTGGAAGAGTCCACTGCGAGCTGTCCAGGGTTTTGATTTCCTTAGCCTAACATACCCAGCTCTGCTGGGAAGACCTAATAATAATAATAATAATAATAATTACAACCACCACCACCCCAATTTATTATTTATACCCTGCCCATCCAGCTGGCTTTCCCCAGCTACTCTGGGTGAAACCCAATAGAATATTAAAAACTTTTACAATAAAACATCAAACAATTAAAAACTTCCCTAACGTGGGGTGCCTTCAGATGTCTTCTAAAAGTCAGATAGTGGTTTATTTCCTTGACATCTGATGGGAGGGAACCACCAGAAGGCCCTCGGAGCTAGACCTCAGTGTCTGGGCTGAACAATGGGGGTGGAGATGCTCCTTCAGCTATACTGGGCTCAGGCCGTTTAGGGCTTTCAAGGTCAGCACCAACACTTTGAATTGTGCTCAGAAATGTACTGGGAGCCAATGTAGGTCTTTCAGGACCTGTGTTATGTGGTCTTGGGGGTCGCTGCCACATTCTGGATTAGTTGTAGTTTCCAGGTCACCTTCAAAGGTAGCCCCACATAGAGCGCGTTGCAGTAGTCCAAGCAGGAGACAACCAGAGCATTACATTCCACCAAAACAGGGATAACCAACATGGCAACCTCTGGATGCTGGGGGAATACAAACTCCCATTGGTTCCAACCGACAAAGCCAACAGTCAATGAAGGATGACTAGTGGCACCATGTTTTCTGTGAGATTTTGTCTAGATGAGCTACTCAACCAGCCACAGGACTCAATAGTCTCCCGCTGCTGTACCGAAGGAGAGAGTTTCCTGATCGTTCTACTGCTGCGATTCCTTATGGATCACTGCTCAGCCATGAAACTCCCAACTGGCCGAGATGTGCTTTTGGGTTCAGTAGTTCTTCCTGATGACAGGGCCACATGCACACACCACTCTCCACCAGTTGCTCTATAAAACTGCAGGAGTATCTCACATCCTTCACAGAAGACCTAGACTAGCCAAACAAGTGCAGTCAAAAAGGACACCTGGTGAGTAACTTCCATAGGTAGTTTTTATGGGAATGGCCACAACCGCTTAGTTTCCTTGGAAATCCCATCAGCAGGATATGAAGAAGTGTTGTTGGCTATAGTATTTGGTATTCAGATCTAGAGGCTCTCTCTAAGTGAGAAGTTTTTTGAGATATTGGGACTCATGAAAATTAAGGGGGGAATCTTCATTATTTTATATGATTCTTATTTTTGGCATTTCTAGGTCCTGCCCCCCTTAGAGCCAAACTAGACAATATCATAAAATGCATGGCTTCGTTTCACATATCTGGGGTGTGTTGTGGTAAAATAACAGCTGTGGAGAAACCTGATTGGGAGTTACTCCTTTGTCACTGTGCTGTGTTCTTAAGAACCGTCCCCTCACCCCTGAAGCCTCTATTTGCTGCAGAAGGAACATTAATCTTGCCTTCCCACCATATTCCAGAAGATGACTGAGGTTTCCCAGCTGCTCTTTAGTTTTAATTCAATATTTATTAGATGTCACAGATTCCCTCTTGAGGGCTTAGGGTGGGTGGGCAGTCTTCTGAACATTGTGGGATAGGGTAGGAAAGGAAAGGATGAAGAACAGCCAAGCTGAAAACTTCATCAAGTTAATGATGTTGGGTCCCAAGCCAGAATCTTCTCTGCACCCCAGTTCACACTGCTTAGGAGCCCCTCTCCCAACTGAGCCTCAGGGGAACCACCAGAGATGCTCCATCAGAGTATCTTAGTGATCAAGGTGCAGCATAAGGAATCGTAGTCCTCTTTTTAGAAGAATGGCAGAGATTGCATGAGAGCATCTGTTCTACTAACCAGAACTTCCTCTTCTTTGATTTTCCCTCCTCAGCTGAAGATGAGCCATATCACTTTCTTCCATCTCTCCATTTTGGGCTTCCTGGCTGCCTGCCTCTTTCTGCAAGGTACATCCCAGCTGGGCTCCTCCATCTCTGGCTGAGAAAGGCCAAGCAAACTATAGTAGTTCTCGGGAGGAATGGCATGGCTTGATGCCTAGCCAAGTGGGGTTTCTGCCGCGCTTGAGTCAATGTGCAGGTACAGGGGGCACAGAGAGAAGAAGAGTCCCTTTTAACTTTCCATCAGGGAAGCGGGGCATTCGTGATAATAATAATAATAATAATTTTTTATTTATATCCCGCCCTCCCCAGCCCAAGCTGGGCTCAGAGTGGCTAAACAATAACAGTACTAACAATTACTAACAATAAAAGTAACACAATTTACATAAAATCACAATCAATTGATTGACATGCATTCCAAAACCAATTCAAAATCAAATTAATGGCAACCAGAGTTCTACGAGGATCACCAAAGGAGGCGGTCAGACTGTGCCTTGGCCAAAGGCCTGGTGGAACAGCTCCATCTGGCAGGCCCTGCGGAAAGATGTCAAGTCCCACAGGGCCCTGGTCTCTTGGGACAGAGCGTTCCACCAAGTCGGGGCCACGGCCGAAAAAGCCCTGGCTCTGGTTGAGGCCAGCCTAACCTCCCCGTGGCCCAGGATCTCCAAGATGTTTTTGTTTGAAGACCGTAAGGTCCTCCGTGGAACATACCTGGAGAGGCGGTCCCATAGGTATGAGGGTCCTAGGCTGTATAGGGCTTTAAAGGTTAAAACCAGCACCTTAAACCTCCTCCAGGAGAATATCATGCTAAGCATGATGGTCGGCAGTGCTGGAGATAGTTTGGAAGGGCTGTCCAGCGCAGCCAAAGAAAGAACATAAAAAGGGCTCGCTGGTTCAGGTCAATGGTCCATCTAGTCTAGCATCCTTTTCTCATAGTGGCCGAACAAAAGCCAGCAAGCAGAAGACGAGCACAAGAGCTCTCTCCCCTCCTGTGGTTCCTACCAAGTTTGATTCGGAAGGCTGCCTCGAGCTGTGGAGACAGAGCAGAGCCATCATGGCTGGTAGATTCTCCATAAATGAGCTACATGAATATTCAAATGCAACTTTCTAGCCCGCTAGGAGTTTGGGGAGTTTGGGGGTAAGGTGGACAGAGGAAGTTTTCTGAGACTCTCACCTCAATATCTGTCTGGTGAAAATGTTGCTCGAAGACCTTTCTGATGGTAAGAGCTGTTTGACAGCGGAACAGGCTTTCATTTGAGGTTCTGAAACGGAGGCTGGATGGCCACCTGTCAGGGATTATTTAGTTGTGATTCATGCATTTCAGGGGATTGGATTAGATGACCCTTGGGTCCCATACTAAAACAACTAAAACTAAAACTAAAACTAAAACTAAAACTAAAACTTTTATTATTTAAGCCCTGCCCATCTGGATCGGTTTCCCCTGCCACTCTGAGCGGCTTCCAAAAGAACGTTAAAAACGCAATGAAACATCAAACATTCAAAACTTCCCTAAACAGGTTTGCCATCAGATGTCTTCTAAACATTGTGTAGTTCTTTATCTCCTTGACATCTGATGGGAGGGCATTCCACAGGGTGGGAACCACCAGTGAGAGAACCAGGCAGAGGGCCTTCTCGGTGGTGGCGCCCGCCCTGTGGAATGGCCTCCCATCAGATGTCAAGGAGATAAACAACTATCTGACTTTTAGAAGAGATCTGAAGGCAGACCTGTTTAGGGAAGCTTTTAATATTTGGTAAATTATTGTGTTTTCATATTTTGCTGGAAGCTGCGCAGAGTGGCTGGGCAAACCCAGCCAGATGGGTGGGGTATGAATAAATTATTATTTTTATTATTGTTGTTATTGTTACTGTTGTTATTGTTCAGTAAGTGTCTTTTTGCACAAATCCTTGCTTCTCAATAGCACAGATATTAGATCCCCATTCCCACAGGTCCTCAGCATCCTTGAGATTGTGCCGGCCACACAGCCTTTCAGGTCTCACCCCTAGGTCCTGGGTGAGGCCCCTCTCCACTTCCTGCAAATAGTCCGGATTCTGACCCAGCCACCTCCTCCACAAACTTGACATTGTGTTCCCTCTCCTCCGACAGGCACGGAAGCATATAGGTGCCCCCAGGACTGGATCAACTTTCAGAGGCATTGCTATTCATTAAAGAAAATTGCGCGGAATTGGTATGATGCGGAGGTAAGGAGAGATTCTTGGAAGCCCTGTGTAGCAAATTCCTCCAGACACCATGTTTCCCACCCACCCTTCCTCTCCTCCCTGGCAAGCAACTCACAGCAAATGAAGCATAGTCTTGGAATACAAAGTTATCCCTGCATATGTCACATGGCAGGTTAAAAAAAAAATGAAAGAAAGATGATGACGCTGCTATAAAGGTGAAAGATACTCAGAGTCGAGTGTGGATTTCATGCTCTTTAATCAGGTCATAGTAGTGAGGAATGGGAGTTCCCCCGAAATGTCTGGTTTATATACATTATTTACACATTGGGCCCCACATGATTGGCTAATTCCAGGATTCTCCTGTAGGGCAATCAGGTTGCGGATTCACTTCCACCTGGAGCTGGATTGGGTGGCTCCTGCGGACCAATCAGACTGCTGCATTTTGGATCCTATCATTCTAGGACCAATCAGACTGCTGCATTTTGGATCCTATCATTCTAGGACCAATCAGACTGCTGCATTCTGAATCCTATTGTTCTTGGACCAATCAGACTGCTGCATTCTGAATCCTATTTTTCTAGGACCAATCGGACTGCTGCATTTTGAATCCTATTCAACTCAGTACATAACAAAAGGAATATATAAAACTGGTTTCTCAATGAAGAGTAGAAACCAGTTGATTATTTTCCTCCTGAATCAGAAGATAAGGCTCACATCCGCACCACACATTTAAAACACTCCTTTACCATAGTGACAATTCTGGGTAATCCTGGGAACTGCAGTCTGATAAGGATGCTGGAAATTGGAGCTCTGTGACATCAGCACCCTTAACAAACTACATTTCCCAGGATTCTCTGCAGGCAGCCATGACTGCCTAAGCGGTTACCTCCCTACGAGAAGTGAGGTTACAGGGAACCAGGCAGGGGGCCTTCTCGGTAGTGGCACCCGCCCTGTGGAACACCCTCCCTTCAGATGTCAAAGAAATAAACAGCCATCTGACTTATAGAAGACATCTGAAGGCAGCCCTGTTTAGGGAAGTTTTTAATGTTCAATGCTCTATTGTGCTTTTAATTCTGTTGTAAGCTAGATGAGCGCGGTATAAATAATATATTATTATTATTATTATTATTATTGAAGAGTGCTTTAGTGTATGTCATGAATGCCGAAGAAATACAAGCAAAAAGCACACCAAGAACTCTGGCCAATATAAGTTTCAGCAGTGGGAGAGGTCCCTACTCGCAAATCGATACTCAGTTGTAACAAAAACTAATCCATTCAAAAGTATGTATTCTGACAAGGATTACAAACTCAAACAGAGATTACAAACTCAAACTCATAAGGATATGTATAACACAATAATTCATTATAGAATTAGAGATAAAAGTTTATGAGTAAAGATAAGTTCATGTTAGTCCATAGTCTGATTCGATGTGAAAGTCTTAGTTTCTGTCATTGAGCAGAAGTCAGAAGTCAATTATGAACTAGAAACCAGGACAGGGCCCTGTTTCGATGTCTTCATCTTCATCAGCTAATTTTTAAGGGGTGGTGTAAGATTGAGGGTGTGTGTGTTTCTTTGTGGCTGATTAGCTGATCTCCCTGTGCAAAGGTCAGAGGGGGCAGGGTTTCTGTTGAGGCAGGTGATTAGCTGTGGGAGGAGCTTATCAGAGCTTGCAGGGCAGCAGCAGTTTGATCCATCTTTTAGATTTAGGGGAGCTAGTCTCAAACGTTTGTTGGGGGAGACCTAGGTTTTTTTGTGGGGGGAGTTATTTGTCCTGTCTTCACGCTTTTTATGATGGAGGACCGCTGTAGCCACCCCCAACGACACGTTCTCAAGATGGAGGAGGGAACAGCTGCAGTCGCCTGCGGTTCCTGCGCAATGTTTGCCATCTTGCCAAAGGTTGCAGGCAGCTTTACCTGCAGCAATTGCATGTTGATTGCCCTCTTAGAAGACAAAGTCCAGCAACTGGAGGAACGTGTAGCTACGCTCCAAAGAATTAGAGAGCTGGAGCTCTTCTTGGAAGCAACAGAGCACACCGTCTCCACCAAGGAGGAGACAGGGGACTCCCCTGAGAAGGATGCTAGTTCACCAACACAGGAGCTAGATGGAGAAATGTGACTCAAAGAAGTAGGAGGCCCAGGGTTCGCTCTGATTGTTTAGAAATACACAGTCGCTTTGAGGTCCTCTCCCTTAGCATGGAAGACGAAGAGCAGACTCCATTTGAGGATCTCTCCCTCATTACAGTCGATCAGGTATATGAAGACGAGCAGCAAAGTCAGTCCTCAGGGAATGTGCAGGTGACCTTGGAACGGACAGCTCACGGAAGAACCCCGACCAAACCTAAGAGGAAGCAGTGATCTGTGGGCCTGACAAGATGTCTCAGGAAGTGTGCTGTCTCCCCGGGGCTAAGATCCAAGATGTACCGTATTTTTCGCTCCATAGGACGCACTTTTTCCCCTCCAAAAATGAAGGGGAAATGTGTGTGCGTCCTATGGAGCGAATGCAGGCTTTCGCTGAAGCCTGGAGAGCGAGAGGCATCGGTGCGCACCGACCCCTCTCGCTCTCCAGGCTTCAGGAAGCTATCCGCAAGCCTTGCAAGCCCGGTGGGAGTTCCCGCGGGCTCACAAGGCTTGCAGGCAGCAGCCTGCAGCCCCGGCGAGTGTCCGCAAGCCTTGCGCGCCCGGCAGGAGGTCCCGCCGGCGCGCGAGGCTTGGGGCAGCAGCCTGTCGCCCGAAGCACGGGGAGCCCTCCGGAGGGCTCCCGTGCTTCGGGCAGTGTCTGCAAGCCTTGCGCGCCCGGCAGGAGGTCCCGCCCAGCGCGCAAGGCTTGGGGCGGCAGCCTGTCGCCCGAAGCACGGGAGCCCTCCGGAGGGCTCCCGTGCTTCGGGCGAGTGTCTGCAAGCCTTGCGCGCCCGGCAGGAGGTCCCGCCCAGCGCGCAAGGCTTGGGGCGGCAGCCTGTCGCCCGAGCACGGGAGCCCTCCGGAGGGCTCCCGTGCTCGGCGAGTGTCTGCAAGCCTTGCGCGCCCGGCAGGAGGTCCCGCCCGGCGCGCAAGGCTTGGGCGGCAGCCTGTCGCCCGAAGCACGGGAGCCCTCCGGAGGGCTCCCGTGCTTCGGCGAGTGTCTGCAAGCCTTGCGCGCCCGGCGGGAGGTCCCGCCCAGCGCGCAAGGCTTGGGGCTGCAGCCTGTCGCCCGAGCACGGGAGCCCTCCGGAGGGCTCCCCGTGCTTCGGGCGAGTGTCTGCAAGCCTTGCGCGCCCGGCGGGAGGTCCCGCCCGGCGCGCAAGGCTGGGGCTGCAGCCTGTCGCCCGAAGCACGGGAGCCCTCCGGAGGGCTCCCGTGCTCGGGCGAGTGTCTGCAAGCCTTGCGCGCCCGGCGGGAGGTCCCGCCCGGCGCGCAAGGCTGGGGCTGCAGCTTGTCGCCCGAAGCACGGGGAGCCCTCCGGAGGGCTCCCGTGCTTCGGGCAGTGTCTGCAAGCCTTGCGCGCCCGGCGGGAGGTCCCGCCCGGCGCGCAAGGCTAGGGCTGCAGCTTGTCGCCCGAAGCACGGGAGCCCTCCGGAGGGCTCCCGTGCTTCGGGCAGTGTCTGCAAGCCTTGCGCGCCCGGCGGGAGGTCCCGCCCGGCGCGCAAGGCTGGGGCTGCAGCCTGTCGCCCGAAGCACGGGAGCCCTCCGGAGGGCTCCCGTGCTTGGCGAGTGTCTGCAAGCCTCGCGCGCCCGGTGGGAGGTCCCGCTGAGCGCGCGAGGCTTGGGCGGTCAGCCTGCAGCCCGAAGCACGCGAGGCTTGGGGCGGCAGCCGCGGGGGGATAATTTTTTTTTATTCATTCCCCCCCCCAAAAAAACGAGGTGCGTCCTATGGACCGGTGCGTCCTATAGAACGAAAAATACGGTAACTGAACGACTGCAAGGAATCATAAAACCCACTGACAAATACCCCTTCCTATTGGTTCATGTGGGAACCAATGACACTGCAAGCAATAGCCTCCAGAAGATCAAAAGAGACTACGAGGCTCTGGGAAGGAAATTGAAGCAATTAAATGCACAAATTGGCATCTCATCTGTCCTCCCAGTTGAACGACGTGGCCCAGGGAGAGAGGGAAAAATAGTGGAAGTGAACAGCTGGCTTCGCAAATGCTGTAAACAGGAACGGTTTGGATTCTTAGATCACGGACTGCAGTTACTTGAAGATGGACTTCTGGCAAGCGATGGGCTGCACCTCACAACGGTTGGGAGGAATGTTTTTGCCAAAAATCTCAGAAACCTCATCAGGAGGGCTTTAAACTGACTAATGTGGGGAGGGAGACAGTGCTCCTGAAGGTAGGAGTCTATCAATTGATGAAGATGATCATCCAAATGTCATAGACCAAATGGAGCAAACAGCACGCAGACCTAGTGGTGGGAGGAAAAAATCCTTAAATAAGAGACACGGGGGAATGATTAATGTCTGTACACTAATGCGCAAAGCATGGGAAATAAACAAGATGAGCTTGAGTTCTTGGTACAGCAAACTAAATATGACATAATAGGCATCACTGAAACCTGGTGGGATAAGCCCCACGATTGGAATGTAATAATGGGGGGATACAATCTATTTCAGAGAAACAGACCAGACAAGAAAGGAGGAGGAGTGGCGTTATATGTCAGGGATGTGTATACCTGTGAAGAGATCCAAGATTTAGAATCTCAAAGCCAAATTGAGAGCATTTGGGTCAAAATTAAGGGAGAGAAGAATAACAGTGACCTCATTGTGGGAGTTTACTATAGATCCCCAAGCCAAACGGAGAACATAGATGATGCCTTCCTGGAACAGATGGCCAAGCATGCAAAAGGAAGGGAGATAGTAGTAATGGGGGACTTCAATTACCCGGATATTTGTTGGATGTCAAACTCAGCCAAGAGCATAAGGTCAAACAGATTGCTCACTGGTCTTGCAGACAACTTCATTGTCCAGAAAGTGGGAGAAGCAACAAGAGGAACAGCCATTTTAGATCTGGTCCTAACCAATGTTGATGACCTGGTTAGTGGGGTAGAAGTGGAAGGATCATTAGGCGCGAGTGATCATGCTCTTCTGGACTTCCGGGGTGGCGCCATCGGCAATGGCGGACTCCCTCTGAACTGGAGGGACTAGCTCCGCGGGAAACGGGTCTCTCCGCTACGGCGAAGCGGGGACCCTTTCAAAAATCACAGGCGGATGAAGCCTGTGACCATGGGACTCGGCGGGCACCTTTAGCGCCCCCCCAACTCGCTAAGGAACCCACTAACGGGCTCCAAAGTGAAGAGGGGGAAGTGGAGCGGTGCTGTGAGTCAACTGCTATTTCCGTGGAGCGAAGCCGCATAGCCGTTGCCGGAGAGCGCTGCCTTTTTCCTGGGACAATTTGGACTCTAAAATAAGCACCCGTGAGTACTTAGATTTTGAACAACTGGACATTAGATGGGGACTTGCGAGCAGAAAGGAATTGGATCTTAAAAATCTATTTCAATTTGGTACGGAACGGGAAGGTCTAAACAGGAAGTCAGCCTTCCATTCTTCTGTAGACAGAATAAAGCAAAGACAACATAAACTAGAGCTCAGAAAATCGCTTTTAAAGGATTGGATTTCATCATTTAAAATTGTGGAACCCCACTTCGACAGCAGAAGAAGAAGGGGGATCTTTTTTGGACTGTTTAAAGTGAGTTTAAAGTAAAGCAACTTTCCTCCGTCCTGATCCTGGAGCGGGGTGTCAGGACTGACGTTTGAAGTTCATTGACCAGAGACAAACGTTTTTGACAGATAGCTAAAAGAAGAGAAACATAGTGATTCCACTGTTTCCTTTCGCATTTCAAAGGAACAAATATTGACAAAGTATCTTAAAAAGGGAAACTTTGTTGCAAGATCAAATAGAAGTTTCCCCCCTAGAGGGAGACTGTGAAACTGTAACCAACTCCAGGGAGCCGGCAGCTGTTTATAGATTACAATCGTGGGAATAGGCATTTGACCTTGCAGGACAATGTATTCAGAAGCTTTGTTGTGTGCTTTCTACAAAACAAATGCCCTACTGGAATAGTTACATGAGAAGGTGAATTTGATGACGACTTCGACTAGAAATTTTGAACAGGCAGTGGGAAATTTTGAACAGACAGTGGGAAAATATGTGGAGCCCACCCAGGAATTAAATCAGGAGTGTGTCCTGACAGAACAGGCCCAACAGGAATATGAGTTTTCGGATTTGACAAATGAACTTGGAAAAAGCCAGATTTGGAAAGAAAAAGTTTGGTTTGGCTTGGAAATGGGGGGCTGGATTGACCCCCCTATGCTGGGATGTGTGGACTTTTCAAATCTGGCAATGGGCCGTGAGATGTTTGGGATGGTGGGGGCTCTTAATTTTGGAGGGTCTTTGAAACATGCTTTTAAATACCATATGGAATTCAGTGCTGAATATGGAAAAGGGGTTGATCTGTCGAGAAGGGTTAAAAATATTGCCAAGCTGGTGTTACCACGAGCAGGAGACAAGGGAAAATACAGTTACAAATATGAAGAAGAGCTGAGGAAGGGACATGGAAGAGACTTGAGGGCCTCGGATATAAGGTTGCCAGGTTAATGGGCCAGATCAATGGGATAATAAGGACTGACAAAACCCGGAGCCAGGAGGAAGGGACGTTGGATGAAGATTGGATCTGTTTGTATTTTTTTTTCTACCATTAGAACTGTTTTATAAAATTGATGAATGTCAGAAAAATGTTGGAATGAAATTACTCGGCTTTAGTAAAGATGTTTAAAGAATTATGAAAGAATATTATGGTTATGAGAAGTTGGTAAGGATAAGATTTAAGTTTTAAGCTTTAAGGTTTATTTTCTTATAGAAAGATAAGATTAAAACTGTTTAGGGTAATGTAATGACAGAATATTATGAAATATGGAAAGGATTTGCTGGGATAATTAATAACTAGGATACAAAAAAAGAGAGGAGGAGGAGGTCAAAGAAAGAAGGTAATGACAGTTGAGGATTTGAGAATAATGAATTTGTTTTTAAATGTTCTTAAATTGTATTTTTGTTTTTTTTGTTTTGTGTCTTTTTTCTTATTTTTGAATTTGTATTCGTATGGTTGGAAGGGGTTTGTTTTTTTTTCTTTTTCTACTTTCTACTACAATTCCATTATTCTTTGTAATGGGTCATTGTCAGATGGTGGATTTCCTCTTTCTCTTGCAACAGAAACCAGTGATGTGGTCGGAAAGGTGTGGTACACAGAGTGTACACTCACACAATGTTGCATGTTAAGAAGAAGAAGAAGAGTTTGGATTTGATATCCTGCCTTTCACTCCCTTTAAGGAGTCTCAAAGCGGCTAACAAAACAATAAAATACAATAACCTATTAAACATTAAAAGCTTCCCTAAATAGGGCTGCCTTCAGATGTCTTCTAAATGTTTGATAGTTATTTTTCTTTGACATCTGGTGGGAGGGCATTCAACAGGGTGGGTGCCACTACCGAGAAGGCCCTCTGCCTGGTTCCCTGCAACATGGCTTCTTGCATCGAGGGAACCGCCAGAAGGCCCTCGGCGCTGGACCTCATCGTCCAGGCAGAACGATGGAGGTGGAGACGCTCCTTCAGGTATACTGGACCGAGGCCGTTTAGGGCTTTAAAGGTCAGCACCAACACTTTGAATTGTGCTCGGAAACGTACTGGGAGCCAATGTAGGTTTTTCAAGACCAGGGTTATGTGGTCTCAGCGGCTGCCTCCAGTCACCAGTCTAGCTGCCGCATTCTGGATTAATTGCAGTTTCCGGGTCACCTTCAAAGGTAGCCCCACATAGAGCACATTGCAGTAGTCCAAGCGAGAGATAACCAGAGCATGCACCACTCTGGCGAGACAGTCCATGGCAGGAAAGGTCTCGTCCTGTGTACCAGATGGAGGTGATAAACAGCTACCCTGGACACAGAATTGACCTGCACCTCCATGGACAGCTGTGAGTCCAGAAGGACTCCCAGGTGAAGTCTCATCTTTGAGACCCCACATAATCCTTCTTGGGAAATCTTGCAGGAGCCACTCGCTGCAGCTAAGCAGCTAGCCCTCATCTCCAAGGTAACCCCCCATGTTCTTTTCCTCTCACAGGCAGACTGCCAAACGTATGGGGAAAGAAGCCACCTGGCCTCCATCCTTAGCGAGGAAGAGAACAAGCATGTGGCCGCTGTTATAGCAGGAGGAAATGATCCCGGATTTCATATCTGGATTGGACTGTTCAGAAAGAAAAAGGGCGGGAAGGTAAGTAAAGGGGGCAAACTCTCTTTTTCATTTGCCTCTCAGTAGGAACAGCAGCCGGCAAGGGCACAGAGAAGCAGTCCAGAAGACGAGAGCTCCCTGCAGGGAAGGGAAGGGCAGATATTCCCATCTCTGTAAGGGAGGATGTGGGGCTCTGGTGAAGCTCTTAATTCAAAGAGTAGCCATCTGCCTGCATCCCCAGGATGCAACACAGGTCCCATTTATAACTCTCACAATATTACTTTAATAAGGATTTAAATCAACAAAGTTGATATGTCCTTTAGCCTTGGAGCAATACAGTGGTACCTCGGGTTAAGCATTTAATACGTTTCGGAAGTCCGTTCTTAACCTGAAACTATTCTTAACCTGAAGCACCAATTTAGCTAATGGGGCCTCCTGCTGCTGCCGCGCCGCCGGAGCACGATTTCTGTTCTCAACCTGAAGCAAAGTTCTTAACCCGAGGTACTATTTCTGGGTTAGCGGAGTCTGTAACCTGAAGCGTATGTAACCCAAGGTTCCACTGTATTTGACTATCCAGTTGGAAAGGAGGACATACCGTCTTTTCTTCCTTTAACACTTCTGCAGAGTAGAGGGGTGTAGCAGGTGCATTTCTTGTGCTGGGTGATGGAGAACAGTTGATCCTGGCTAGATCTCCCCCAAGCAGTACAAGTCCTTGGGATTTGATCCCACCAGCTGAAAATCAATTCATTGACAGCCTTGCTGTAAAATCACACTGGGGAGAAGAGCTGAAGGGTGGGGGCAGGGGCATAGGAAGGGTGATGGAGAACAGCTGATCCTGGCGAGATCTCCCCAAGCAGTACAAGTCTGAGAGGTCCAACCGCCTCATCTTCCTTGGGATTTGATCCCACCAGCTGAAAATCAATTCATTGACAGCCTTGCTGTAAAATCACACTGGGGAGAAGAGCTGAAGGGTGGGGGCAGGGGCATAGGAAGGGTGATGGAGAACAGCTGATCCTGGCTAGATCTCCCCCAAGCAGTACAAGTCTGAGAGGTCCAACCGCCTCATCTTCCTTGGGATTTGATCCCACCAGCTGAAAATCAATTCATTGACAGCCTTGCTGTAAAATCACACTGGGGAGAAGAGCTGAAGGGTGGGGGCAGGGGCGTAGGAAGGGTGATGGAGAACAGCTGATCCTGGCTAGATCTCCCCCAAGCAGTACAAGTCTGAGAGGTCCAACCGCCTCATCTTCCTTGGGATTTGATCCCACCAGCTGAAAATCAATTCATTTTACAGCCTTGCTCTAAAATCACACTGGGGAGAAGAGCTGAAAGGTCGGGGCAGGGGCGTAGGAAGGTGGGTGCGGGGGGTGCGGACCACCCTGGGTGTCATCCGTGGGGGGGGATGACAAAAAGGCACCACCGCCGCTGTTGTGCGCCATGGATCGCCCTGCCTCGCGCAGCAGATCACTCCACCGCCACCGTTGTGTGCTGTGGATTGCCGTGTGTGGTGGGTCACCCTGCTGCCATTGCATGCTGCATGCACGGCGGATCACGCCCCCAGCTTGCACCGCTCCTGCCGAGTGCATGGCATGGTTGTCGCTCCAGGTGCCCATGCAGCTAGCTCCGCCACTGGGTCAAGGTCCTCGAATCAATGCGGCTCACTGCTGCCTCCAGAAGTCTTAAGGAATGGGTGCCCTCGCAGCACCCCTGGCCTCAAATGGAGTCCTTGCAGCTCCTCTCAAGGATGGGCAAAGTCTCAGGGAGGTATCCCAGTGTGTCTTAGGCTGAAGCTGCTTGGGGGTGATTGCTTGGTGCCACAACAAATGATCCCTTTGGACTCATGTCCCTGGGAGTCAGTTGGTAGAACAATGGGAATCTTCATCTCACGGTTGTGGGTCCGAGCCCCACGCTGGGCAAGAAATTATTGCATTGCAGGAAGTTGGGTCCCTTGCAACTCTACGATTCTAGGAATGTGCCCCCAAAGCTCCACGCCCAGTGAGGCCAAACCAGCCACGCTCCCCTAAATCCGATTCTGAATGAGGCAACTGGAAGCTCCTGTTCCTTCCTCAGCAAAGACTTTTTGCTCTCTCTACAGAATGTACAGTTAAGATGGTCTGATACCGCCAATTTTGAATACGCAGCTTGGGCAGAAGGACAGCCAGACAAGAGCGGATACTGTGTCGAGATGTTTGGGGATGGTAAGAAGGGGGCTTCATAAGCTGAAGACCTTTGCTTCTTTGTATTCTGTGAACCTTGATTCCATTCTATTGATTATTGTTATCTATATAAGGCCTTTCAGGACATACCGTATTTTTCGCTCTATAGGATGCACTTTTTCCCCTCCAAAAATGAAGGGGAAATGTATGTGCGTCCTATGGAGCGAAAGCAAGCTCCCTGGCTTCAGCAATAGCAATGTGAAGCCTCCGAAGCCTGCGCTCCGGAGGCTTCGCGTTGCTTTCGCTGAAGCCAGGAGAGTCTGGTCTTTGAGGCTGGCGGTGGGGGAAAGCAGCACTTCCCCCCACCGCCAGCCCCACAAGAATTCCACAGCTGGAATTCCCCCACCTCCTAGAAAAGCCCACAGGAGCCGCACATCCTTTAAAGAGCACGCAGCTCCTGCGGGCTTTTCGACCGAGCTTGTGGGGCTGGCGGTGGGGGGAAGTTTTACATTTATCCATGCTGGTTTCTAAACGTGGAGGGAGGGAGGCAGGTCTGACGGTTCTTCTTTGCTGTTTTCTCTAGATTTTGATATGTGGAATGATACCGACTGCGAGAACGAGAACTATTACTTGTGCAAAATGCCACTGTAGAGATGGGCATCCTTCACTACTGAGGCTCCGACAAGCTCAGCACCTTGGAGAATGGGACCAACCTGGAGGTCTTTTTCTTCCACCGGGGCATTTGTTCACCCGCCCACATTGCATCCCCATGCCGTAGCCTTTGAGATGTCTCCATCTTGAGACTTCAATAAAGAAATTCTCCTCCGTACCCGTCACTGTCTCCTTCAAACTGATCACGGGGCTAACCAACCAGGGATGTCAGAGGTCACTGTCAGAAACACAGGCAGAAACAGCCAATGTCTGCTTTTCTCACCCCATGTCTGGAAGGGAAGCTGTAGCCTTCTTAGACTTTACCGATTGGTTGGGTGAGCGTTGCTCCCAGAGAGGGAGGAAGGAGTCAAAAGACACCGAGGTTGATTCAGAGAAAGAGTTCTTTATTTCTGCTCTCCGGAGGAGCAGGAAGGCACTTGCGTGGTCAGTTCACAGCAAGCCCACCGAAAGAGAAATTTCAAGCAGTATATATCCCCTCCAGGCACCCTCTCCTCTCCCCCCAGGAATCCAGCCACGTTGGCTTATACATGTAAGTTGACATCCATGACCATAAACAGATGTTCCTGTTCCTGTCTTCCTTATCTTGGGGTAAGAAGGTCACCAACTCTAAGAGCACTCCTGGCACCATCCCTGAGTGTGGGGGTGTGTTGCAAGGTGTGTGCATCAGTGTGTCAGGATATTTACAACCTACAAGATAAGATAAGCCCCAGCTCTGCCGTCCCGTCTCCACTTCGGAACTGACAAGGCCATCTATTAAGCGTCACGTACTGATAAAGGAGAGGGCTTTGTTTATACAGCTGGGTCCCTGTTATACATGAGCTCAAGTTAATGGATTTTAGCTAATGGATCCCTGGAGAAGGAAAAATTGGGATTTGGGGGCCCGTTTCAGACTGACTGCACAGTCAGGTTTTAAGTTTGGGAAACCTGCTCCTTCAAAGCTAATCCACCCTGGTGTATGAGTTCCCTGTTCCCTAATCTTACTTCTTTATTACACTTATAGCTCTTTCTTCCCTCCAAGGAAATCGAGGTGGTATACCTGATTCTCCTCCCCCCATAACAACCCAGTGAGGTAGGCTAGGCTGAGAGATTCTTCTTCTTCTTCATTACATTTGCAGCTTGCCCTATACCCGCAGGTCTCAGGGTGTTTACAACATAAAATCACAATATAAAAACAACCCTATAACACCCCCCAAAAAAACAGTGACCAAGGTTGCCTGGTGTCAGGGAACTGCCATCGAACGGAAGGGAGGTGAAAGGGCTCACACAGGTTGGGAGAGACTCAGCAGCTGAAGAGGGAACCAGTAGGGGGAGAGGAGCTGAGCTGAGGGAAAGTGAGCTGGAGGGATGGCTCAGAGACACTTCCAGCGAAAACAGTGGGGAGGTTTCAGGACCTCCTGTAGGGACACCCACTCCTCGCCGGAAACTGTCACGCAGAGAGTCCAGAAGACGTGTTTCCGTTAAGGAGCTTTTATGTTGGAAGAAATTCCGAAAGCAACCACTGTCGGAATCTGCCAGTGACTAGAGGAGCCATGTCTGAGGGGCTCCGTCACAGACAGAGGTTTGTGGACTTGAACAAACTCTGAAGGGATACGGTTTTACGCACAAGCAGCTCATCATCCCATCACAGCATTCCGACAGTCATTGAAAGCAGCTTGTGCAGGAGAAGGCATCATGAGCAACCCAGCCGGAACCGGAGAAGCAGGAGCTGGAGCGGGTCCAAGCCTGGAAGAAAGGTACCGGGTGTTGGAGGTCCAGCTAGCGCTGGAGACGGCGAGGCTTGAGGAGAGGAGGGCTCAGGATGCAGACAACAAGGGGAAAGCCACCCAGCTCGCCAGAAAGGTACCAGGATTGGTGCAGAAGTTTGGGGGGGAGCCCAAAGACTATCATGGCTTTCGGACAGAAATGCAATATGCCCTCAATCTGCAGTTTGATGAATTCCCTGACGAGGAATCACGAGTGGCTTTCGTGATTGGGCATCTTGAAAAGGGGGCGAGAGACTGGGTTAGACCCCTGATGGCAGCGCATAGTGACCTCCTAAAGGACACGATGAAGTTCTTTCGCGCCATGGATCTGATGTTTTCCAGCGATATTGAGCAGGGAGGGGTGCGCAGACAGTTAATGGCTTGCAAACAGGGGAGCCGATCTGTCCGTGAGTACTGGACTGAGTTCACCATGCTGGTTCACAGATTGGGGTGGGACTTATCGGCGGAACCCATTCAAATGCTCTTTGAAGAAGGGCTTTCTTCGGCTGTGAAAGACGAACTTTCCCGGGCGCCCAGGGCGGAGTCTATGGACCAGCTGACCAAATCAGCGCTGACCATAGGAGCGCGCCAGGAGGCGAGAGCATTGGAGAGGCGGGAAGGGACAGGGGAACGTTGGAAGGAGTTCCGCATTCCAGACATTCCAGAGCCAACTTTCACGCCGGCAGAGCCGATGGAAATCGGAACAGCGCGCGCGCAGCTAGTTTCAAAGCCCAGTGAGGGGGAAAGAAGGAGCGAAAAGGCGCCCGGAAATGCTATCTCTGCCAACAGCCAGGTCACTTTGCCAGAGTCTGCCCCCAGAGGAAGGAATGGCAAGGGATGGTAGGAGCTGTGGAGGGAAGAGAGGAAGAAATACCGGAGCAAGTAAAAGCCAACGCCTGGCTGCCATTGTAGGGGCACAGCAGCCAGGCCAAAGAGCAGTGGAGTGCCCACGCCAGAACCTCCTAAACCCGCCCTAGTGATAGAAGTGGTGCTAGAGCTGCCAAACGGACACCCTCTAAAGATAAAGGCGCTGTTGGACTCAGGCAGCTCCTGCAATTTCATGAGCAAAGAGTTTGCAGCTGAACACCAGATACAGACGATCCCTTAAGCAACCCCCTGCAGGTGACCACGATCGATGGCAGGGAGCTGTTGGGAGGAGAAGTCAGCTTGCAGACCGTCCCAATGATAATGAAGGTGGCAAGGCACACCGAACTGATAGCGTTTAATGTGGCCACCTTGGGAGGAGCTCCCATTATATTGGGGATGAGCTGGCTAGCGTTACATGATCCGCTGGTGGGCTGGCATCAGAGGGTGGTTTCTTTTGGTTCAGCACATTGCTTAGAACACTGCAAAGAGGGAAAGGGTTTGGCAGGGGCCCAAGCCACCCTAGCAGGGACTGAAGTAACGGAGAACGTGAAGGTACCACGACAATACGCAGATCTCCGCGACGTCTAGAGCGATAGGTAAGCTGACCAACTACCACCGCATAGACCCTTTGACTGTCAAATCAATTTGCTCCCTGGGGCACAGCTCCCTGTAGGCAAGCTGTACGCCATGTCAGACAGAGAGATGCAGGAGCTAAGAGAGTTCATTGACAAGAACCTGAAGAGAGGGTTCATCAGAGAGTCCAGGGCGGTGGGGGGCAGCCCAGTGTTTTTGTGGATAAAAAAAACACGAACAAGCCGAGGCTGGTGTGTGACTTCAGGGCCTTAAATGCAGTGTCAGAACCAGTGGCCTTCCCTATGCCCAGGATTGACGACATTTTGACAAGGGTGCGGAAGGGAAAGATTTTCACAAAGCTGGATCTAAGGGGGGCGTACAACCTGATACGAATAAGGAAGGGGGATGAATGGAAAACCACCATGTTCACCCCTTTAGGGGCATTTGAATACTTAGTTATGCCCTTCGGCCTACAAGCAGGCTCCGCAACCTTTCAATCGTTTATGAACCACGTCCTGGGGCCTTTGCTTTACAAGAATTGTGTGGCCTTCTTAGACGACGTGTTGGTGTATTCTGAGAATGAGGAGCAGCATGTGAGAGACGTCAGAGAAGTGTTGAGCAGGCTGCAAGCCAACCAGCTGTGGGTGAAACTGGAGAAGTGTCAGTTTCATACCAAGGAGGTGGAATTCCTGGGGTATCGCCTGTCTGACAAGGGATTGGCCATGGATCCCGGCAAGGTCCAGGCGGTGCTGGAATGGAAAACACCCGAAACAAGGAAGGATGTGCAGAGGTTCCTAGGATTTGGGAACTTCTATCGTAAGTTCATCCCAAACTTTGCCCACCTGACGGCGCCCATTACGGACTGTCTCAGCAGTAAGAAGAAGTTCGTTTGGACTGAGGAGGCGGAGCGAGCATTTGAGGAACTAAAAGGGCCTTCGCCTCGGAACAACAACTCCTGCATGTGGATTTACAAAAACCGATGAGAGTGGAAACTGACGCATCAGACAGAGCGATTGGGGCGGTGCTTCTGCAGCCAGGAAAGGAGGAGTCAGAGTGGAGACCGTGTGCCTTTTTTTCGCGAAAGCTGAACAAATCCGAGAGGAACTACACGGTGTATGACCGAGAACTACTAGCCATTCATGAGGCGTTCCGGAGATGGAGGCACCTGCTAGTTGGCGCACAACATAAGGTGCAAGTGTGCACTGACCACAAGAACCTAGAGTATTGGAGGACGGCACGAGTGCTCAACCAACGGCAAGTGAGATGGGCCCAGGAGTTCTCCAAATTTAACTTTGAGATTTGTTACGTGCCAGGCCCAGAGAACATTAGGGCGGACGCTCTCTCACGCAAAACTGAATATTTGGAGGGGGAGCACCCGAAGAGAGACATGTCATTCCAGAGGACCGCTGGGTGTGTGGGGCGGCATTGGTGGGACAAAGAGAACTGGTAGAGGAAACCGAGAATGATGAATACGCCCAGAATAAGCTCAGAGGTCTTAGGGGTGAGGGAGAGGAACCAGGGGGTTTCGAGGAAAGAAATGGAGCTTTGTATTACAAAGGGGCACTGTATATCCCGGAAGGAGACTTAAGGGGGAGGGTACTCAAGCAGTTGCACGACAGCCCCACGGCAGGGCATTTTGGACAACACAAAACCATGTGGTTGGTCACCAGGGAATTTTGGTGGCCTAAGGTGAGGGAAGATGTACGTGAGTATGTAAGAGGGTGCGAGCAATGCCAGCGAGCCAAGGGGAAAGGCGGGCGCCGGCGGGGCTATTAGAACCCTTACCAACCCCAGAACGACCTTGGGAGGCAGTGTCGATAGATTTTATGACTGATCTGCCGAAGTCCAAAGGAAAACAGCCATCATGGTGGTGGTAGACCTACTAACAAAGATGTGCCACTTTGTAGCTTGCTCGCATGCAGTCACGGCGGAAGAGACAGCGAAGTTATTTGTAGAACACATTTTTAGGTTGCAC